TACATATATATATATATATCAGACATATCCAGACCCACTCTAAACCGGCAGCCGTCAGCCCCCTGAGATACGTTCAAGCCCTAAAGCCTTCATCCAAAGAAGCCCAAGCCTAAGCCTTGGACCGGTTTAGGGTTTAGGGTTTAGGGGACCCCGCGGCCCGAGGCACCCTGAAGCCTCAACACTAAACCCCTGAACCCCTGAACGGCTAAACTTGAAGCATCTGGGGTTTAGTAGGGTGCAGGGCTTACCCTGAACCCTAAACCCTTGAACCCTGAACCCGAAGCGTTAGGGTTTAGGGTTTAGGCTGTAGGGCTTACCCTAAACCCCTGAACCCCTAAATCCGAATCATTAGCGTTTAGGGTTTAGCGTGTAGGGTTTGCCGTAAACCCCCGAACCCCTAAATCCCGAAACCCCCATCAACTAAGCCGAGCCGGCAGGCACCGCGTCCTGTTCTTCATCTTCTGCGGATGCAGGCCGGATCACCAGGTTTGTATGGGTTTTAGGGTTTAGAGTTTAGGGCTTAGGGTTTTAGGTTGGTTGGGTTTGGTTTGGTTTAGTTGGGGTTGGTTGGTTGATTGGTTGGTTGGTTGGTTGGTTTAGGGTTAGGGTTAGGGTTCGGGTTTAGGTTTTACGGTTAAGGGCTTAAGCGGCTCAAGCCCTACACAAAAACAGTCCATGACTAAAATACGGCTACACATTTTTGTGCAGTTTCAAGCTAGATGTAGAGCTCGACCTCGTCTCGTTGGGTACTTACATCGTCGCGTTTCATCTCAGGATCTGGCCACGGTGGATGGTGCCAGCCGGGAGGAAGTCTATCGCCATAATGCCGCTTTGCCTACGAAGCTCTGAGTAACGTAGGGGCCTAAATGATTACCAATACTGCATTATAATGGGAGTTTCTTATTATAATTGTAGTATAATGGGCCCCGAAACCCTTTTCTAATTGTTAAAAACACTATTCTAATTAGAAAGGCCCCAACAGTAGTTTTTCAAGGCTTGATTAGGCAACTTGGCACCCTAAACCCTAAACCCTAAACCCCTAAACCCTAAACCCCTAAACCCTAAACCCAAAGTCCTTCAAACGCCAAGCCCAAAGCCGTAGACGCCAAAGATCTCGCAGTCAGACGTAAGAACCCTAAACCCTAAACCCTAAACCCTAAACCCTAAACCCTAAACCGTTCCCCCAAAACGGAAGGATCCCCTTCATGGTTTCAAAGTCAAAAATCAGATGTTTAGGGTTTACCTGTAGTATCCATTGTAGTTCCTTTTTGGGGGATACCTTATAAAATCCTTAATATAATATGGGTTAAACCAAAAAAAGGAACTACAATGGAGACTAAAGGGATGTTTAGGGTTTAGGGTTTAAGACAGGTTTTTGAGGTTCTGAGCTTGTTCTGGCCGGTAGTGATCTTCCAATTGTACTTAAGCACCCTGTGCTTGATGGTTTAGGGTTTAGTCGTCAGGGTTTTTAGGGTTTAGAACCCTTAACCCTAAACCCTAAACCCTAAATTCAGGGCGGGTATTAAGGCCCCCCTAGACAAGCCTTGAACAGGCACCCAAACCCTAAGCCCCGAAGGGTTTCGGGTTTAGGGGGGGCTACGGTGTAGGGTTTAGGGTTTAGGGTTTAGGGTTTAGGGTTTAGGGTTTAGGGTTTAGGGTTTAGGGTTTAGGGTTTAGGGTTCAGGGATTGCTGATGTCCGAAAGCATCCGAAAGCTCAGGACGCATGTCTCCAAGAAGCTCGGCTGCCTTTCAGCGCTGGGTTTTTGTTTATCTTAACCGTTCTTAAAAAGAGGTGTATGTATATCTAGTATACTATGCATAATGGGTATGTGTGTCCCTAGAACCTAAACTCCAAACCCTAAACGCTTGCAAAGCCGCCAGAAGTGTCAAACCAGGCATCAGCCCCAGCCCAACTCAACCTAACACCCGAAAACCCAAACCCTTATGATTATAGGAGTCCAACAAGGAGTCACCAAAAGCCAGGCAACAATCCTGATAACAAACTTAAAGAAGGCTTATATACTTCAGCAAGCCCCACATATTTCCCGAGCCCGAAACCAGCTGGCTTCCCAAAAGGACCTCTGTAGCAAACTTTACTGTAACCGTAAACCCGAACCCCTAAACCCTAAACCCTAAACCCGAACCCCTAAACCCTAAATACTCCTCGGAAAGCCAGCCGAGGAGATGGGTCTTGAGGCTTTTGAGCAAAAGCTCCGAAGCTGCTCGTGATCCGCCGCTGAGAAAGATCCGCAAGGGTTTCGGGTTTCGGGTTTAGGGTTTAGGGGGCTAGAGTCTACCTGTAGGGTTCAGAGTTTAGGGGGCTAGAGTCTACCTGTAGTCTCCATTGCAGTCCCTTTTTGGGGATACCTTATAAAATCCTTAATATAGAATCATGGTTAAACCAAAAACAGGAGCTACAATGGAGACTATAGGTAGGGTTCAGGGCTGAGGGGCCTGGGGCCTCTTGGAAAGGACTATCAACACTTTTTGGCGGACGCATGTACCTTGAACCATACTAGGCTTCTGATGCTTCTGATTTCGATTTCGGAAAGATGTAACCCCAGGGCTTCTGATTAGCATGGCTTCGAGACAGAATCTCACGTCCAGATACCCGCAAGGACAGTATTCAGATCAGTTTTGGGTAATTAGGAACCTAGTACTGCAGGCTTAACACAGACCAGGACTCAGGATATCAGGGTTATCACAGCTACCACCACGGTGTCGTTTAGCTGACTAAGGTTGAAGCTTGAATAGGAGAAGGCTGTCCGGGCGAAGGCAGTTGACATAAGGGCGAATGACAAGGATAGTTTAGGGGCTTGCGGGTTTAGGGTTTAGGGTTCCAGGAAAAGGTTCGGGTTGATGTTGCCTGGAGTCAGGAGTCAACCAACGATCCTCGGCAATATGTTGGTATCTAGTACAAGTTTAAGGATTTTCAAACACACGTACAGTGAAGGCTACCTTGACAGAAATGACTTTCATCGTTGGAAAAATCATCTCTCTGAGTATCTGCCTGAAGGGTCGCAAGAAACCAGAATGAAGGCTTCTGCCGATATGGGTGGTTGTCAAAATGATGGTCCCTTTTTGGGTCCTGTTATAATACGGCACCTATTATTTTGGGTACCCCAAAAGTGACCATAATTTTGACATCTACCCATATGCATGAAGCCCGGCAAGATCTAGCCTAGGCCTGAATTCGCATGGTTTGCGAGCTGCTAGGTTCCGACGAAGGTCTAAGGTTGAACCCATGGGCCCCTAACATGGGCCCTTAGGGGATTCCAGGGTCCCTTCAGGGTATATATAGGGTATATAGTAGGTATATAAGGGTCCCAGGGTCAAGGGCCCATACTGGGGACCCATGGGTTCTACCTTAGAGAAGGGTTTAGGGTGCAAGGCTTTAGGTGCAGGGTTTGGGGCTCTTGGTTTAGGGCTTAGGATTTCGGATGTAGGGCCAGCAGCCGAAATTTGTTTCAGCTGAAGTGTTTAGGGTTTTAGGGTTTAGGGTTTAGGGTTTAAATGAATACGATCAGCAGGCGTTGAAGAAAGTAAAGGAAACAACAACGAATCGTCTCTGCTGTCAGGCCGTCCTCTTGCCGGGGTCAGATGTCGCTGGCCCAGCATTTGCCACCTGAGTTTAGCTAGAGTGTGTCTTAGTGCGTCAGGGATTTGGGCCTAGATTGTCGGGTTTCGGGGTTGTCGGGGTGGGTTTCACCAGAACCTTCAAAACTTCTGGAAGACCCTTAAACCCTATACCCTAAACCCAAACGTCTTACACCCTAAACCCTAAGGCCCCAGCCCCGACTCCAATCCTAGATCGGAATCTAGCATTGTTGTGCTACTTTCCGGGCTTTGGGAGAATTCTGTGTGCCCCTTAAACCCTAAACCCAAAACCCAAAACCCTGAACCCCAACCCCTCCCGCCCAAGGCCATAGTGCCAAGCCCTAGTGGCCTGAGAGCGTCTTGGGCTTTGGGTTTAGGCTTTGAGTTTAGGGTTTAGGGTTTAGGGTTTGGGTAATGGTGCAAGCAACCGACTCATCATATTTGGGAGTCGTTGTTGATTGTCTTGGTGAGTGTATAAGAGGGATTCAGCACCCTGATTCCGAATTTAGTCTGCTCCATGCGGAGCTGACCTTCAAGCCCAAAACTGTATGACCCCGTCCGCCAAAGTCTGAAGCCGTTCAATTTAAAGCCCTAAACCCTAAACAACTCACCCCAACACCTCTAGCCTGCAGCCCTGCAGCTGCAAACCCTAGGCAGACTTGTCCTCTAAGCCCTACAGACATCCCTCAGCACTGAAAAATTTGAACTTTTAAATCCGAACGCCATGCAGAAGCCCAATTGAACCCTAAACTTTCTACCCCAAGCCTTCACCCTAGACCCTAGACCCTAGACCCTAGACCCCGAAACTAAGCCCTATAAAGCCTGAAACTTCACCCTAAAGTCCGTAAACCCTAAACCCAAGACTACTTGGTGGTTCATGGGTAGTTATAAGTGGAGTTATAAGTCCCCTGAAATAGGTTATAACAATAGTTACCCTACTTATCACCCTACTTATAACTGCCCATGAACCTCCAAGTAGAGCCGCAGGATATAACCCTAAACCCTAAACCC